CCTGACTGTGGATTTACAGGAATGCCTCAAAATCGATTCACATTAAAAATAAACCAAACATGAAGGAGATGCCACTGTAGTAGAGACTATGCCTGTGCAAATCAATTTTTAATTGCAGTATATGCATTTAAACATGAAGCTACCCACTTTCATTCCCTTGATCTTATCAGCCAACAGCAAGCTCTGAGCTAGTTATTTCCCTGTCCAGGGCTGAGAGGCCTGGAGCCCCATCTTGTCTAGAGGATCAGGTGACTCTAGCAATCAGGCAACATTAAGCACCTACTATGTACCAGGCCCTGTGCTAAGCACTATGGATACAAAAAGAGGTAAAAACAGCCCCTGCCCTCAAGGAGCTTACAATCTAAGGGGGGGAGACAGCAAACAAATATATACAAAGTGAGTTATATGCGGGATAAATATGGATAATTAACAGAGGGAAGGCCCTGGGATTAAGAGGAGTTATGGAAGGCTTCCTGTAAAAGGAGGGATTTTAGTTGGGACTTCAGGGAAGCCCAGGAGGTCAGTAGCCAGAACAGAACAGGGAGAGTGTTCCAGTCATGGGGGATGGCCAGAGAAAATGCCCAGAGCTGAGAGATGGAAGATGCAGCCAAAGAATGTTGAATTTGGAGCCCAGGACCCACTTCTACGGCCTTCTCCCAGTATGACCTGGGGCAGTCTCTTGCTGTGGAAGATGAGGAGCTGCAACGGGAGGCCTCTGACGGAACTTCCTGCTGTAGATCTACAACCCTGTGAATGGGATCTCAACCCAGAGGTCGATGGCTTATCCCAGTACCCCCACTGACCCCCCCCCACCCCCAGTCCCAGGGAAGGCGCTCCTCACAACCAGACGCCGAGGAATCAACTCAATGCTAACAATGGCCACGGTCTTGCGTGAGGAAGGAAGAGGTCATTTCACCAAATCAACCGCTTCATGTAATTGCTTTATCTGATTATTTATTGTTCAACAACAAAGTCCATTTCTTTCAGGGTGGATCCTGAATTATACCTTATGTTCCTTTCCTTGTCAAGAATAAAAAAGGTAATGAAGAAAAAGCTGTACTTTTGGATACCTATAACCATAATAACTTAGAAGCATCTAAGTGCAATTTCATGTGACAATATTTCTTTCTGGGATCTTGGTGGTCTCACAGAGAGCTCCCACCCCTCTGGTCTGATGGCTATCCACAACCACCACCACTGAAACCAAAAGTTAGTGTTGAAAAATGCACCTTTTACAATAAAAAAGTAGAAACCAATTCAATTTCCTTTGTTGTTTGTTTTTTTTTTTACGAATATAAAGTTTCTTGTAAATATGTACAGTCTTTTGAGCTATTCCTGCAGGAGGAAGCATTTCACAAATGAGACACAAGATATACACTTTTTAGGACTCGAGAAGCCCATTTCTCATGGAGATCTAAATAAATGCAAAGACTGAAAGACCAATTCCAGTGACCTCTCAAAATACTTGTGGACCAAGAGGCAAAAACTTCAGCAAATTTTCAGTCAAATCTTCTGCTCTCAGTGGGGAGTTAAAGTATAACAAAAAGAAAAGAAAACAAAACAAACAAAACAACAAACAAAACCCAAAGCTTCTGACAACAGAAAAACCACACCAGTGAAGACATTCGCCAGAGGTCCAGATGACAATGAGTTTCCCAGAAATCTGAAACAAATGAGCCCGAGGGAGGAGACAAACAGGGAGGACCAGAGGGCAAACTGGACATTAAGCTACACTAGATGCCTAAGAAGTGAGCAGCTATTTCTGCTCTGACCGGCCAGCCTCAACGGTCATCACTGTGCCTTGTTCGCTGGCAGAGGCCGATTCAAAGTCACGGCAGAGCAGGGGAAGCCAGAAACAAGGCTGCCAGGGAGCCTGCCGGCTCGCAGAAATGCTTGATTACCTAGGTTCTCCAAGGCCAGAGAGCTCACCCTCTTAATTAACAGACAAGGAGAAAACAGGACAAGACCACGCTGCACCTAAGGAACACAGCCTCAACATGGGGCTTCCCGGTCACGGGCTTGGCCCAAGGGCAAGGCCTAAAAAGTCCCAGATTCTAAGGATAGGGCAGGTGGGCGCACAGAGAGTCATGATTCAGATTATCGAGAAGGGAAGCACAGGAGGAGACACAGAGGGGGTCACATTCAAGTTTTCTGGGCGGTGATTTGCTGAAATCCTTCTCTCATCAGAATAATAAGGCTTGTAGCGTTTTTCCTAGTGCTACACACTGCAGCTCAGTCACGGCCAGTAAGTTGGCAAGTCTTCAAAAGGTCTTAATTTGCTTGCTTACAAGGGAATGACGATAGGATACTTAGCATAGCAACCAAGAGATGAGCCAGGCTGATGGTGCGACAGCATGCAGGGGGCCTGGACAGTGGCTCCTGGCCGCCCCGGGGATGCTGGGCTCAGAGCAAGTCTACCACATGCATGTCTAGCCAGAGCCACGTGAAAGCAGGGCTGGACGTCCCGAGAAGAAGCTGCTCAAAGCTCCATGAGCTCCTGCGCCTGGAGTCCTGTCCTCAAGGGGAGGCCCATGGATATGGGGACATTCTAAGCTGGGCAGAAGTGGGGGAGGCAATGAGTGGAGCGTCAGGGCCAGGGCCAGGGCCAGGGCCAGGGCCGAGGATGGCTGCCAACAGAAGGGAAGCAAACGGGATGGGGCTGTGGGTTCTAATCTACGTTTTGGTTGTAAAGACCCAACGCTGCAGTTGAGCTAGAAGTGACGACTTCAAAGGGAAGTTCACTTCCGTTCACATCTCTCAAGGATTCCACTGTCTTTTTTAAACTTCTGATGGTGTAGCTAGTAAATCAGAGTTCCAATCATGCCCACCAGGGTCCACATCCTCCTTGTCCTTGGTACAAAAGTTTATGAAGAGCTTGAAAGAATAGCAGTCGTACAAAGTGCAGGGATGACCCAGGAAGGGGTGGGGAAGAGACTGTGGGCCAGCTGGCCAGGGCCCCTCCTGGCCTCGGCCGGGCCTCCTCCTTTGTCTTTGCTGAGCAGTGGTGGCTCAAAGGGGCCCAAGGCTCCCAGGGGGACTACACCACCCGCTCAGAGACCTGGCGTAGCTTGTCCTGCAGGTGAAGACGAGGACTCAATCTTGTGTTTTGCTTGTTACTAGCCGAGAACTACACTGAAGACTGGTCCCAGACCTGGCAACAAAGAAATGAAGATGGATTCAAGCTGTGCTCTTGTAAAAACCATCTGAGGGCCAGTTATACAATTAGCAAGCGCCTCTGGAGGCTGATTTTGTCTCTAAAGAGTTCAGCCAATTTGGCAGCCAAGCAGCTAGGGCATCAACCCTTAAATGACTGGCATGAAGCATTTTAACTATTCGTGTCAACTTTTTTCTCAACCCAACTTGTGTTTTCTCCTTTTTTAACCAATTCTAAAGGACAAATCCCTCCCCCACTCTTTGGGAAATCTTCTTCACCTTCTTGCCTGTCCCTGCCCTCAGACAAGGGTCAATGGGAAAGCAACAAGAAAAGGGAAGAAATGATGCTTGACAATTAGTTGGAGCTGTCTGCCTGGGCAAACTCAAGAATGAGCCCCGGACTCTAGTCCTACTGCTGGTGCCTAGCCGCCCGGCCTCAGTGGAGGACGCACCCTACACTGTGAGGTTACAGGTCCTGGGGCTACATGGCGCACTCAAGCACATGCCTGGACTCAAAGTCTTAGCAATACCAGGTCCTTCATGAACCTATTTTAATGAATAGAGAAGAAATCATAGGCCCCGGAGCCGGAAAGAACCTTAGGGGGTCACTGAATTCAATCCCCTCATTTTAAAGATGAAGAATCAATCATTAACAAACGAGTCCATCCTCCAAGTGGTGCGGGTTAAACATCTCCCCACATAACCTGGTACCTCTCCCAGGCTACAGGAGCCACTCCTTAAACAGAGAACAAAGGCCAGTTTCAGCCCATTCTTCCCCTCTCTCATCACAGAGTCTGCGTCATGCAGGGGAGGCTCGAGCTTGAGGCCCTTCTCTCTGGCCTCCCTGCCTCCAGGGTCACCGAGGCACAACTCCCTGACTGACCTTATTGACCTGGGACAGCGGTGTCCTCACGGCTCCAACGGGCAGTCGACCCCTGCTGCTTTCGTCAAATAGCCTTCCGGGAGATCTCTCCCTCCTGGTGCTCAGCATGCGCCCGGGAGACTTCTCCCTCTCCAGAGGGCGGCCAGGAGACTTGTCCCGGCGCAGCTCGGTTCTGCCTTCTCGGTAGCGGTGGGGTGTGCTTGGCTCTCGCGGGTGGCTGGGGCCTTCGGGTGGTGCTGGGCTGGAGGCCACACGTTTGGTGATGTGCTCGTTGTAGGTGGGGGGGCCTCTCTTGTTAGGACTGCTGGCATTCAAAGACAAAGGACATAACGTCACACTCCCAATTCCTGTCAGATCACCCTCTCACAAGAGACTGAACTAGTGCTATGAACAGAGGAAGAAAGCCCCCACAGAGTCCCTGCTCCGCCAGGACCTTCTAGACACACTTCCCTTAGAAGGCATGAAAGGGCATCTTTAGGAGAACAAAAGCCACTCCCCGAGGGAGAGTCAGAAGATAGGAGCAAACAGTTCTCAAAAGAAGAGCTGCAAGCTATTAGCGACCGTAGGCAAGATTGCCCAGATATATAATTAGAGAAACAATCAGGATAATGCAGGCCCACCATGTCGGAGGGCCCCTACTATGCTGCTGCCAGTGGAGCTGGGAAGGGGCCCCATCCTTCTGGGAGCCGTCTGGAATAGGGCTAAGATCATGGATCCACGGATCCACACCCTTTGGCCCAGAGAACCTGCTGCCTGGCACATACCCCAGGAGGTAAACAGCGAAAAAAAAAAACCCCTTCGTAATTAATTTTTAACAGTTGCGTAGTAGAAAAGAACAGAAAAAAAATAGATGCTCATTAATCAAGAATGGCTCACCAAACTGTGGTTGCTGGTTGTAATGGAATATGACTGTGCTGTAAAGTGATGGACGCACGTAATGAAAATAGAGCAGCACTGGATGCTTATGTGAACTGACGGAGAACGACGTGAGCAAAACCAGAAAAACCACATACACCACGAGCACAGGGGTGTGAACAGAAACAACAACAGAACCAGTGAAATGGACCGGTTTATCATTAAAATGACCAAGACTGGTCCAGAAGAAAGCAGACAATGTGCCAGCCTCCCTTCCCTGCACAGTTGGAAACGTAGGCATGTGGAAGATGGCAAAACCTTCCCGGTTAGCCTTTCTGATCTGTTTTTTCTTCACTTTTTTTATTCTCTGTTATATAAAGGATTACTCTCTGGAGAGAAGACCACGTTGGGAAACGTAGGTCATTTAAAAACAGATGGTATCAATAACTTTTTTTTAATTTCAGAAAAGAAAGACTCTTTTGCAAGTCATGCCTGGCAGGCAAAAACTTGGTGTGAAATATCTCTCCTGCCCTTCCAACCCTTGAGCAGAACAACAGGATTCCATACCCTCAGACCATGAAGAACTGACTGGAGCAAGAACTGCATTCACAAGACACTTAAGCCTTAACCAGTTCAACTGACTAACAGTCAGAATTAGACAGAAGACATGCAGCTTGGGTAACTGAGAGTTAACTCCAGGATAAGACCTAGGGGACAAAAGAAGTCTTTGCTGCTCTTCAGGATTTCGATACCATCCATACCTGTCCCTACCACATTACTCCTGCCCTGCGAAGGAATGCTGTTGAATTAATGAGGCCAAGACCTGGCCAGGTCTGATTCAAATTGATCAATCCAGTCTGTCTTAGGTTGACATGGGCTGGATGTTTAAGAAACTGTCCATCAGGACCTCTTAATCACTCTAACGCAACGCTGCTTCTGTGCACTATGTGATCTGTGTCTACTAAAGGAGTTCTGAATCCGCCATGAAGAGCATTGCAGTTTCTTTTAGATCCATGTTTCTAAGCAACGCCAATAGCAGGAACAAGAAAACAGAATTAAGGCTGGATGTTGATTCTCAATGCTTCTGTTTGTTTTTTTATCAATATTTTAAGGAAATGGTTTTCCTTTTGCTTAGAATGACTCCTTAGGTCCAGGATCTGTGGGTGCCAGTGGTTAGTTCTCAGATGTCATTTTGTTTCTAAAACTGTTCGTTATTGACCTCTCTGAAAGTGACAGGACAGAGCGTAGGTTTGACTGATGTCATTCACTGCAGGGATCACTGCTTGGTCTGTTCAACAGGGAGGTAAATGTCTGGACTCTGTGGGAGAAATGTGAAGTTACATAAAATGCTGAACTGGCCGCTAATGGAGATAAAAGACGGAAGACAAGCACTCCTGCCAAAGCGGCAAGTGTTTCCTTCAGGACCATCATATAAACTGACATAATGGAAGGCCGTTTCTCAGGTCAACTTTTTTCCTCTGCTTTGCCAGGAAGGCAGCCTGGTTTATGATGCATTTTCACTGGGCAAGTTTCATTTACTGTCTATAACTAGTCTAAATACATTTTTCCCTCTCTAGGACATCTAGTTTTGATTAAAGTTCTGTGTTTGAGGGAAATATCTCTTCAGCGACACAGCTATAAGGTACATGGAACCCCATTATTCTTGAAATTAAAGATTAGTTTTTTGTTGAGATATTTTCTAATGGTGAACCTCTGGTCATCTAGCTTTCTACCAATTTATAAGCATTTAAGTCACGAACAGCTGGCTGAGTAGTAGCCAAGTAAAATAAAAGTAACCCTGAAGTCCAGACTTCAATTCAGCCTGTATTTTACTAAGATTTCCAGCTGATTCAAAGAGAAACAAACCCACCTAAATTTCAGAAAGTCTGCCCTTGTGTAATGCATGAATGTGTAAAACAGCTCTGTTTTTAACACACACAAGAAACACACCCACTTAGCTGCCAGCCCAAGAAGGCCATACCTGCGGGAGGTGGAGGCCCCTCTGGAGTGTTCACCACCGGACTCTTTAACCAGGTTTCCTTTGCAGCAGATGACTCTTAATTTGTCCTGGTAGGAAGATGCCAAGTAAACTGCTCCTGATGAAATTGCTGGTCCCAAATAACGAGGATTTGGAATTTCTAAATGAGCACGTGCAGGAGTTCTGAGGAACGAAAGGTTTCTGGTTACAATACTGCATTTTAATTTTACTTAAAAGTGTGTGTGTGTGTGTGTGTGTGTGTGCGCGCGCACATCAATGTACAAACATGCCACACCTTGCAGAGGTCGGTTTCACAAAACCTTGGGAGAGCACTTACCCCAAAGAAGAGCGTGCCTGAATCTCAATCACTTCAAGAGAGTTGAAGTGTGTCACAAACAGATAGGGCTCTCTGTAGGCTGGGTCATCATCATGGAGAAGCAACAATGACAAAGAAGCTGTATTAGTACAGATTCGAATCAAACTTGGCTGTACTGACTGTCATGTTATGTTCTGGCCCCCAGCAAGAGGAGCAGGGCTGGAGAGCAAGGAGGAGTGTGGCTTTACCCATCTTCCTTCTTAGTTTTACTTCCCTATCTAGACCCAACTATTTCTGGAGCATGGGATTAACACGAATGACACTGAAAAGAACTGGCTAAAAACCAAACGCAGTGAAGAATTCAAGGCACATGTTTTTTTCTCTTGACATGGAAAGTTCCTCAAAGCTAGCAGCATGACCCGGCTCAGCCGTTGGATATGGTTCTGGTGATTCCTGGTGACTCAGGAAGAACGACCATTTTCCTTCACACTGACCCATCCACGATGACTAACAAGACCTATTTCTCGGCCTCCACGGTCCCCACGAATACAGAGGCTGAGCCAGAGAAAGTTCCTGCCAGAATCCACTCCCGGCCACTGTCACCACCACACTCCACCTACCAAAGGCCAAAGGCAGGCGGCTCCATCTCAGATCATCCGTGCGGCTTCGTCTGCCGTAAGAGTCCACAAATACGCCAAATTCTGCAAGGAGTCAACAACCCAGGGTTATTCGTATGTGAGCAGGATAAGAGGCTGGGGAGATGAAGACCACTTTCACAGAACAAGAAAAGCCGAGCCAGAGAATCGCTGGACAGTTTCAGCTGCATCTGACAACAGGTAGGCCAAAAAGCTCTTTGGGAATCAAGCCTCAAACAAGTTATAGAGGTGGCCTTCAGGCGGCAACCTCACAATTACAGATGGGAAGGAAAGGACTAATAGCCAGCATGAAGCTAAGAAGCTGGGGAGAGGGGTATCGTGTCTGGAAAGAATTTAGTTAAAACTCCTTGCTGTAAAACCCTCCTATCCACCTACCATTAGGAGCCAAAGAGGTTCATGAACCAACAGGCAGAGCAGCCCCTGAAAGATGACCGAGCAATTCCTGGACGACCTACCGTGGAAACAGAGCAAGTACTCTTCTCTCTGGCTTGCACTGTTCACCTGCACAATGGTGACCGGGAAACTATTGGAGGAAGAAGCAAACACTGCGGGCGCCAAGGAATGGTCGTTCTTATCCAGAAACTCTGTAAAAGGGAGAAGAGCATTACGTCAACACCAGTTGTAAGCCAGTCTGCAGAGTCAGAAACGATCTTCAGTTCTCACAAGTCCTGTGACAACACAGATCCTAGAAGACGCCAGTCTTACCCTCCAACGTGTACTGCTTCATTTCAATTTCATAGAATTTGTTTGTCCCGATGATGATACTATAGTTAGTGAAATGGATACAACTACAGGGCTCAGAGGTTTCTATCTCCTGCAGAAGAAGGAAAGCAAAGAAAAACAAGCAGATGTTAACAGAGGGTTAAGGGTAAGCAGCCATTAAAACGAAGCATTCCATCTTGTTCTCAGTCTCAGCCTTTAAAGTCATCTGATGGCTTCCTCAGGCCCAAATGCTTCTGCCTAGGCATACTTATCCACTACTCTCCCAAACTCCAGACTAGGAAAACAACAATGTCAACAGTTCCTGAAATTTATGCTTCTGGATCACACACACAAAGCTTTCATCAGAACAGAAAACAAGAAGGCCCTCAACAATCACTCTTTATTTCAGGCCTGCCCTGACTGCTTTTCTGGCCCAAGCAGGAGCTGATTTCCAAGGCCAAGATAGAGGCCAGCAGGTAGAGCAGCACCACACATTTGAAAACGTGACCTCCCTGAGCAACTGGAATTCACTAGCTCAGGCCATATACCTACTATGTGTAGACACACAGTCAGTCCCTGGCTTCAAGAAAATGGACCAAGTAGCAGCAGCTGCTCTCAGGGGCATGTTCAAATTTAGGAGTTTATTGTGGTCTTGCCTAGATCCCCTCTGATATTTCACTGTACAGTGCTTTTGAAAGTCTAAGTTAACAATAATGCTCTATGCAGGAGCAAACATATTCTCCCTCACATGCAGTGATTCTTACAAATGTTTCCATCACTCCACAAGAATGAGTGAACGTGGATGGTTTCAACTGCTTTAACAGATGACAGAGTGGTAAGAAATGCGGCATTCACTATCTAGGGATTTGCACAACAGACGCCATGACCTCATAAGTCAGGGCCACATTTGAATTGTCGTCTCCATTCTCCCTGGTGGCACATTTCAAAGAGGAGTCACTAATCTGTCTTTTCCAAATGGCTAAAAATAGCAACCACAAAAAGAAATGTAGATCTTCAGAGGCATCACTGAGGCCTGTTACATTTCAAAAGAAAAAGTCACCTTCCTTCTTTCCTAGAACTACGGCCACCCACAATGGAGGTTCTCTTCAATCTATACCAGCGCACTGAGCTCCTGCCCCGAGACAGAAGATGCTAGAGGAGACAACCAGGCCTGCTGTCTCTCTCCTGGAGGTGCCTCTCACTCAGGGATGTGAGACAGTCACCCTGGAAAGCAAGAGTGCTGAGTGCCCACTCTCTGACCCACGAGAGTTGAGGTCATAAATCTCCAGAGAAGCCAGCAAGGGGGACGGATGCTGGATCAACACCTGGCCATCCCAGGGGCGTTCAACTTACTTTCCTGATGCAGTACTTGCTGAGGCTTTCATTGTACCGGAGAATGACAACTTTGTTAGGCATGGCGGCACAGATACAGAGTGCATTCTCAATCTGTAGGGCAAAGAGAAAAACCTATGAGCTGACACCCAGCACAGTAGCAAAACCTGGAGAATACTGGTGATGGACAGTGCCCTCTGCAAAGAAGTTTGAAACAAATCCCAATCAGAAGGAACAGAGGGTTAAGGGTAAGCAACCATTGAGATTTATTGGAACGTAAAAATCCTTTTCTAGAACTTTTATCATCAGTTATTTACTCCAGCTGTCACCTCTATGATTCGAAATGAATGCCACCATAACTGGTACAACCTTATACATCTAGCAAGTACTTTGTCTGCATATCCTATTTGAATATGAAGGCAAAGAGAACGTTTTTGCCCTTCTTTTTATCTCTAGTATTTAGCATAATGTTTGGGGCAGGCAGCCCAGAGGTGCAGTGGATAAAGAGCTGGGCCTGGAGTCAAGAAGTTTTGCTGTTGTTCAGTGACTTTCAGTGTCTCTGTGACTCCATTTGGGGTTTTCTTGGCAAAGATAGTGGAGTAGTTTGCCATTTCCTTCTCCAGCTCATTGTACAGATGAGGAAACTGAGGCACACAGGGTAAAGTGACTTGCCCAGGGTCACACAGCTACTAAGGGTCTGAGGCCAGATTGGAAGATATCAGGAAAATAGTTTTCCTGACTCCAGGCCTAGTGCTCTATCCACTATGCCACCCAGCTGTCTGAGTCAGGAAGGCCTACGCCTCAGATCCTTACTAGCTGTGTGATCCTGAACACGTCACTTCACCTCTGTCTGCTTCAGTTTCCTCATCTGTAAGATGGGGATAATAACAGCACCTACTTCAAAAACAGGGTTGACGTGACGATCAAAGGAGACGGTATTTGCAAAGCGCCCAGCACAGTACTTGGCACGTAGTAGGTGCTACATAAATGTTAGTTATTATCATTATTATGTAGTAAGCATTTGATAAGTGCTTATTAATTAACTGACCCTTCTCGATCCAGCTTTGCCGTACCAAACAAAAAAATCGATTGATTGTTCAAAACAGCCTTACACGTAGTTTAGAAGCTTTTGCAGCAAAAATGACCTAGCTCACAAAGCCCACAGGCCCAGAGGCAGCTCCCACCTGGGACCTGACAATGGACAATGTCCTGGAAACCATCTTGGGCCTACGCTGACCTTTCCCTTTGCATTTTCCATGCTTATGTACATTTCCCCCAGATCCTTCCTAGGAAAACAACCAAGTGATACGGATTCAGTGGATCCTGATAACTCGAGAGCCTACAAGATAACTCACAACCCTTACCACACAGAAGGGAAGTGGGAAAGGGTAGCTTTCAACCCTCAAGGGCTTGTTAAGAATGGTCAAAGAAGAATGAATAGATCCAGCAATACCACAATTAAGTCTGTATCCCAAAAAGATCATTTAAAAAGGGAAAAGTTCCTATATGTACAAAAATGTTTAGAGTTGCTTTTTGTGGTGGCAAAAAATTAGAAAGCGAGAGGATGTCCCCCAATTGAGGAATGGCTAAACGAAGCTGTGGTAGATGAGTGTAATGGAATACTATTGTGCTATAAAAAATGATGAACAGGCAGATTTTAGAAAGGCCTGGAAAGACTTACACGAACTGATGCAAAGTGAAATGAGTAGAACTAGGAGAACATTGTACACAGTAACAGCACACTGTGTGATGATCACCTGTGAATGACTTAGCTCTTCTCAGCAATACAATGATCCAAGACAATCCCAAAGGATTCATGATAGAAAATGCTTCCATCTCCAGAGAAAGAACTGATGGAGTCTGAATGCAGATTGAAGCATACCATTTTCACTTTTTTAATGTTTTTTTTTTCCTTTTAGTCTGTTTCTTCTCTCACAACATGACTAATGTGGAAATATGTTTTATGTGATTGCACATATCTAACCTATATCAAATTGCTTACTATCTTAGGGAGGGGGGAGGTGAGAGAGAAGAGAAAAATTTGGAACTCAAAATTTAAAAAAAATGAACGTAAAAATTGTCTTTACCTATAATTGAAAAAGACAAAATGTTATTTTTTAAAAATTGGAATTAACATAGTTAGCACCACCTCAAGAGCTTTTTATATCTCAGAGTTCAGACACAGCAGCCAAGTAGAGTTTAGAGCAAAATATCCCATATTCTGTTGGAATCTGCAGGGATAGTAGGGAAGTGGAATTACACGTGGGTCAATAGCAATCAAATGATACTGACTGTGCGTTTCTGGACAAATCACTCAACTCCTTGGTGTCCCAGGCAAAACTGTAATTTGGATTGCTGGGGCAAGCTGCAGTGGTAGAAGTAGTTTCATTATCTGGGAGTTCCCTACATCAATGAAATCACAGGTTTGGCAGGCATATGACTAGCAGACTACTATATTATCATGCATTAACTTCCGATGCCCAGGGATAAGAGGTAAAAGGGTCCAATGAAAAGAATGCTGGATCTGAGTTCAAATACTTGCTATGATATTTACACAGCTTCACATGCATTATCTAATGGGACACTCATCAGCTTTGTCAACATGGGTAAGGCAATTCATGTCTTGGGTCCTAGTTGGAAAAATAATATTTACACGACACTGACTTTACAGATCTGCTATGAGGAAAGCAGTCGGTCACATTCAGCCCAACTGATACCACATGCAAATTTTGCCTCCCTGCACATATTGTGTGGGCAGGTAGGTGGCACAGTGCATAGAACACTGGACCTGGAGTGAGAAAAACTCATTTTCCTGAGTTCAAATCTGGCCTCAGACTAGCTGAATGACACTGGGCAAGTCACTTAGCCCGGTTTGCCTCAGTTTCCTCATCTGTCAAGTAAGCTGGAGAAGGAAATGACAAATCATTCTAGCATCTTTACCAAGAAAATCCCAAATGAGGTCACAGAGAGTCAGACATGACTGAAAAATGACTGAACAACAACTTATATTTTATGCTTCTGAAGGGCAAGAACCATAGCCTTCTCGATTCAGTCATCCAAAATACAATGATTAAATACCTAGGATGTACAAAATCCCGTATAATCAATGAAGTTATTGGATAAGTAAAACATAGTCCCTGCCTTCATGGAATTCACCATATGACAAAGGGAGATATGAGATGTAAACAGATAAACATGCATTAGAATATTAAGTGCAAAATCTAAGTCAAGAAAGTGAATCTGACTTGAGACTGCATTAGGAGAGGGACAGCATCTAGGAATAGGAAAGTAATGGTCCTGTCGTCCTCTGCCCTGACCAAACCCTATGGGGGAGGGAGCTGCTGACCATGCCGAAGGAAGGGTCAAGCAAGCAGAAGGGCCTTGAATTTGTGCCACACCAAACCAGCCAAAGGGCCCGAAGAGGACAGCCTTGGAGCAGAGATCACCTGATAGATGTTTGCAAGTACTTAAAAAGGATGGAGGAGGAATCAGGCTCATATTGTTTGGGGCAAATTTAGGCTGAGTGTAAAGAAACCCTTCCCAACAAAGAGAACTAGCCCCAGGTGGAAGACACCTTCATGCAAAGGTTTCCCAATACTCATCAGGGGGACGGACTGGAGCCTCGTGCTTCCACATTCCCCTCAGTTCCCAATGGAGCACCACATCCACTCTAACAGGCACACAGATTCTTTTAAAAATGAATGTATGGGGAAGAGCATCTTGATAAGCCCATGGGGTAGGTCTCCTGCTCCCTTCTGTTGTTAGGTGCCTACAGATGATTTTCTCTCAGGGTCAGAGCTGCACAAAGCACTTCTAGAAACTCACCAGCACTGGCAGCAGCTTCATCCAGCTGGACCAAGCACGTCCAGCTCTCGACTCAGATGTGGGACAGAGGGACTCACATGTCATTCTATGCTCCAGACTCGGCCACAGGTTGGGGCTCTAGTGAGGCGCACCTGAATCTGCCTGCCCATTTCCCTTGGGGGCCCAAGATGCCCAAGAAGCTGCAACTGCATGGGAAAGCCTACCTTGCCGGCCGCAAACAGGTGGCAGCCTTTGACGGCCTCAAAGACGCTGGGCGTGATGTCTGGCTGGGCAGGGAGGTGGGACTGTGCGAGGGACTGCTTGACTTTCTTCACATCAACAAGGCACAAGGCCCTCTCTTCTCCTAAAGGGCAGAAAAACAATTCCTCATCAGGGTGAAGGGCCACAAGGCCCAGAGACTTTCCTCGGAACGTACTGTCTATTCACAAGGAAAAGCTACATTGGGAGCAGTATGTTAGCTGAGTTATTCATCAGCTCCTTCAACAGCCCTGTTAAAGTTTTAAGGCTTTACTGAAAACATCAGGCCTTTTAGGTTATACTACCAAGGTTCCTCTGTAGCTGGTTTACATGAAACTACTTCCCCCACTGTGGAAAAAGTAGGGCCAGGCCAAGAGAGCTCACAGGGCCCCTCAGAGAAGGTGGGCGGAGGCAGATGTGAGGAGGTATGTTAAAATTTTGCTTTGGGGAAGCCTTTAAAGGTTACCCTCTTCCACCAGGGTCCATACCCAGAGAAGCCAGTCTAGGCTGGGAGAACAGTTGCCAGACCATCAGTTCCCAAATAAAGCTATTCTCTGTGGTCAGAGCCAGCATACTCCCCACCCAGATCTAGGGACAGAGTGGGAAGTGTGCGACTTCCCTACTAGCATTCACACAGCACTTTAAGGTCTGTGAAGTGCTTTACACGAGTTCTCTGATCTGATCCTCAGAACAACAGTGGAGGCAGAGGCTCTTAGTATTCCCATTTTACAGATGTGGAAACTGAGGCTGGACTTGAAATCAGGTCTTCCTGATTCCAAGTCCAGTATGCAGATGCCGGCTGTGTCACTGAGCCCCTGCAAGGAAAGAAAGTCAGGTGCCATTTCCCCCGGCATGAGACCTGCAATCATGAGGAGCTTCTCCAGGTCCTTGATGATGTGAATCTGGAAGACAGCACCCACCCCTGGGATGTGGGTCAGGGCATTCTTCAAGACGTTCAGGGCATAAAGCCCTTCCTCGGTCCCGACCAGCACCACCTGCAAAGTCAGAAAAGGTCCCCAAGAGCAAAGATGAGTCAAGGACCACATCTCACGTCTTGTGTTGTTTCCCAAACAACAGAAACAATGAAAGCCCACAGGAGATGAGTGCTCCTGCCTGGCGACCCCACGGTCACCCCAGATACCTGGTCACTGAAGGGCAGGGTGCAGTTGATGTCCAGGCGGTCCTCCCCTTCCAGCTTCAGCAGGGAGTTCCCAAGCAGCTTCTTTTAGTACGTCAAAGAGAAACAGCCAGTGTCAGATTCTACAGGAACCTTCTGTCAGGCCTCTCGCAGAGGCCTCAAACAGTCGAGGGCCGCTAACATCACCCCAGGTTTCCCCTATTGAGCTTGACAGGAGCTCATCAAGCAGACCCTGGGCATTATCACTCAACTGTTGTCCCCACGATGGCAATGCATGTGCACCCGAGTTATCCCCCTGCCTGGACACAGCCCCTAGTGTAAGAGAAGCTGCAGAGAGGTGCCTGCCGAGGGCGCGCCCAGCGCATGCAGACACGAGGGCTGCTGCAGTATGAGGCATGGCACCAGAGAGCTGGGCCCATGCAAGGAGAAGTTCCCAAGACAGACTCTCACCAGCCTGTCACACATACGATGACGCTGTCATCCATTAAACGTTCATGCATACAGCACCAGCAAAACGAGCAACTAACGCCACCCAGAGAAGACGAGCCGACCAGACGCCAGGAGGCTGGTATTTAGGGATTTCCAGCTCCCCGGTGTTTATGCTGCGTTTGTGCTAAATGCCTGCTCCTCTTTGTCACAGAGTCCAGAAGCTGGACTGCACAGCTTCCACCAGGCTTTCTCTGCACCACCTACACCTCTAACGTCTCAAGCCTGAGATAAGGACGAGTGACAACAGCCTGCCAGACAGGCAGGCTCCTCCCCTCAACAACCGGGGAGAGTCCCTCCACAGACTCTCAAGTTCGAAACAAAGCCGCAAAGGGCCTTCAGCAGGCTCGGCTACCTGTCATAGCCACTCAGAGCCCAAACGACGGAGAAAAAATGGGCTTTCTCTAACGGCCACTGGATGCAACATTACCACAATTACAACAGGCTGAATTCCTAACGCTGAGTCAAGGGGCCAGACTCTCTAAGAACGGCCAGGACAAGGAGATGCTAAGAGGTATGGGTGCACAGGACACGTTGCATGCAATTCCACTAGAGCCAGAACCTTCTGGGCACGAGCAGGCGGCACGCCATTGCTCTACCAGGAAGCAGTCCCGAGCGGGGCAAGCAGGTCAGTATCACCACTGTCCTAAGTTACCCATTCAGCCCATTTCAAGGGAAAACCCACTGTCCTATATATACTCACAGCATCAGCCTCTGCTTTTTCCCTAGAAACTCTCCCACCTGCGACAACTGACTCTAAGGCAGTGACCCAGCGCTGCTTCTCTGGGAAACTGGGGGCGAGTAAGTAGAGTGTCCTCCCGGGCCAGCAAGTGGTGTGGGGGTGAGACTCCATCTTCATTATATATGGCACATCTGTGGGGATGGCACAGAGAGAATACACACTGAGCCTACAAGGGACTGTCCTCTGGGCTCCCAGAAACAAGGAGGACAACAGGCAGCCCCCAGACAGCCACAGCATGGGGCTCCTCTGAACGCAGCCAGGAGACAAGCCCTTCCACTCCCCTCTCTGCTTACAAAGTCCTGCCGCTGCTTCTTCCCCTGCCCCTCCTTCCTTCTCATTCTCCCCTCCCCACACCTCCCTCCCTCCTCCTCCTCCTCCCATTCCCCAACCCTCCTTCTCGCTCTCCCC